GGGCCCTAAAACCAGAGTTTAATGCTATTTGTTGTTATGCAGTATTCTGTAGTGCAGCATTGTATCCTTCAGCCTCAAATGTTTGACAGAATTCACAATTTTATATTGTTTTGTTTTAGGCCATCAGTGTTCTCAGCATGTATTACATCCACAGGAATCCCAGGGATATCAACCAATCCTGACCGCTAGCCTAGCCACTGACTGACAGGCTAATAAATACAATCAAGTTAGCACTGGTGAACCTCTTCTCAGTCATCAAACAAAATCATAAAGAAAACAGCGATCCTGTCTTTATTTAGCAAAAAATGGACACCAGAGACATTTTTTCACCCATTCAGCCAGAAAAATGAAGCCAAATTGTGCTAGGGTAATGGATAGCCATGTAGCCACACTGCTAACTTTAGCTTTCAGCTTGTTGTCCTCCTCATTTGATGAGTTCTTTCCTTCATTCCAGTAATCCATTCTTTCCACTGCAATGATGACTTTAAAACAGTTATAAAGATAGTTATACAGATAATTCATATATTTATAATAAGTTAGCTTTTTGCCTTCACTCATCAGCTAACGAAAAAAAAAAAAATGAAATAAAACATTTAAAAAACAGCCCATTCCCAAAAATGTGGTAGTTTTTCAAATGCTCATTAGAAGTTTACTGGAGAAACTCACTCTATATTAGGCCTGCCCAACGTTGGCCACTGAGGTCATTTAATTTGGCCCCCTAGAAGGTTAGTCTTATCCAACCTGCTCACCCAATGAGAACAAAAATGTTTTACTTTTTATTTTCTTTTTAAAACTTAATTTTTAGTAACAAAATACAACATAATGCTATAAGAAACTAAAAGTTTTTTTATGTGTTTAGTTTTATACTGTTTTGTCTTTCTGGGCCTTCAGCTCACCATAAACACTGCATTTTGGCCCCCTCAAGACAAAAAGTTTGGGCACCACTGCAGTACTGCTGCCGGAGTGTCCCTCTTAGAGTTAGTTACTTTCTCCAGAAGTCGAGATGTACAGTCACCTCCCCAGATAAGCTCTGCTGGATGGGGCAGAACAAGCCTGAGCTAATTTGTTTCTGCTGATCAGTGGAAGTATAAAGCTACGCCTCCTCACTCAAGCCCAGACTCAGGCCACTCAACTTTCATCCATTCAACAATGGTGTCCATATTACAACACATCAATAATTTACACACGCTAACTTCCAAGTTAAATTAACAAACACCAGACTTTATCATGGGCAAAGTTTCCATCTCATCCTTTTTTAAAAGCACCTCGGACTGAGGGCGACCCTGATAGTTTCTCTGTCTTTAATATGTTAAAACTGCGATCAACTGAGCGAATGTATCATCTATGGCTTTTGTAAAGTGAAACATGATCTCTCCTCAGCACTAAGTTCTACGTTTCAGGCGGATGTGATCGGCTTACCCAGGGCCAGTACGACAAATGAGCTTGGAGGGATGGCACAACCCTCACATGCTGATAACAAATGACACATAACACGAGCACAGGAGCAGCTCCATCAGTGTTATTGGTCAGTGCTGGCAGTTGCCAGTTCTTGTCAGTCCAAATACCGTTAGCATCTCAGGCTAAGAGTACTACTCCAGGGTCAACTGCTCCCTGTTCATTTAATCATATTCATTACATCGAACAGCAAAACTGAACCTGATATGAACCCCCTGCTCTGTCATGAGAGCCAAAGTGTAGGCCAAACTGAACCATGTGTGATTAAAGAAAAGCTCTTCCCTTTGAATTGTAGAATGTGTGCAACAGATGGCTGATGCTACTTTGCAGGGCAAAATTAAACCCTATTGAATATTAACCGGTGTTCACTGCTCTGTGGTCAAGTGTATTTGCAAACACCACCTGCTAACTTCAAAGAAGTTGGAACAGTGTGTGCAGTGAAAATAAGAAACTGAAAGCAGCGATTTGTAAACCCACTTTGACTTGTATTTAAACAAAAAAAAAACATATAGAATTTCATGTTGTACCTTATAAGCTTTATTGTTTTTTAGTAAATTTATGCTCGTTGTAAAACTAATGCCTGCAACATGTTCCAGAAAAGTTGGACAGGAGCAATTTTAGACTAAGAAATGTTTAACAGATAAGGCAGTCATGTTTGGATATAAAAGGAGCATTCAGAAAAGGCCTAGTCCTGTATAAGCAACGATGGAACTAAAAATGTGTCCACGAATAGTCCAACACTTTAAGAACAATGGGCCTCATTCGCCAAACATTCTTAAGAAGAAATTTCTTCTTAAAACCCACTGACACAGTGTTCAAGATTCTGACGTTCACCAGTGTTTTCTTATTTGGGATTTGTACAGAATCTACACACGCACACACACACACACACACGCACACGCACACACACACTCACTCACACAGAGCACAAACGTGTGAACAGTTCTGCGCTTTAAGAACACGTCAAGACTTTTTTCTTAGGAAACTTCCTCAAGAACACTTTGAAAAACAAACTTTGGAACATACTGGAGAATGAGGCCCAATGTTCCTCAACAAACAACTGAAAGGGTTCAAACTATTTCACAATCTCCGGTGCACAATATTGGCAAAGTTTCTTGGAATCCAGAGAAATCTCTGGGCCTCATTCATCAATATCTTCCTACGTTTCTTCTTAAACTTGTTCTCGAGAAAGGTCCTAAGAAAAAGTCCACATCAGATTGTTGATGTGTTCTTAAACCACAGAACTGCAGATTCTGTTTTTACCCAAGAACAAATCCCAAATAAGAAAACTGTGAATGTCAGAATCTAAGAGAATCTAAACTCTGAGTTTTAAGTAGAAATTTCTTAAGTACGTTCGGCGAATGAGGCCCTCTATGTGTAAAGGACCATGCTGAAAACCTGAATGTATGAGCCCTTTGATTCCTCAGACAGCACTGCATTAAAAAACAGCATGCTTCTGTGATGGACTTCACCACATGACCTCAGGACTACTTCAATAAACCGCTGTCAACAAAGAACATTCATTGCGACATTCACATACGCAATTAGAGACTGTATTACCCACAGCGGAAGCCACATGTCAACAACGTCCGAAAACACCGATGACTTCTCTGGAGTTGAGCTCATCTGAAATGGACTGATGAACAGTGGAAATGTGTACTGCAGTGTGATGGGTCAAGCTTTCAATGTTTTTTCAATTTTGGTTATGAAGGCCCACTGGTCTGCACATTTTAGTGCTTTCCCTGCTTTAACGTGCTTTAAGGGGTTGTTAATGAGCTGATTAGTTGGATCAGGTGTGTTTAGAGAAAGGAAAATGCCAAAATGTTGAGCACACAGGGCCTCAAGGACCATGTGTTGGAAACTACATGAAAATAATGGGCAGGCTCTCTATGTCAAAGGAGGAAAGTACCATCTAGACTGTTGCCAGCGTAAAGTTCAAAAGCCAGAGTCTGTCATGGCTGCAGATATTACACCTTGCACATATGTGAAGGCACCATTAACACTGAAAGGTATAGGCACGTTCTGAAGCAACAAACACTGTGTTCCTGATGATGTCTTTACGAAGGACATCCATGCATATTTCAACGTAACACCAATCCACATTCTACTCGTGTGTCTCAATTCAGGGGCTGCGTCCTTCGGAGGCCGAGAAATGTGTCCTTCTTTTCCATGGCAACAAAGGATCCAAAAGGTGGATCCTTCGCCAGCCAACCTATCCTGAGGTTCATTGCATGCTGGCGAGGACTCAAGAACTGGCGGCATCAACAGAGGAGTGAACGGCGGCTGAAGAGTTCACTCTTAAATACAAGTTAAATATATATAAGTATTGGGTTTAAACTTATGCTAATCATACACTAGAAGACTTTGAAAAGACTTTTAAAAGACGAAAGACTAAAGTCTGATACCCTCTCATATCTAAAGACAATATCAGAGTTTTTAGTCACAGATTATGATTTTGCAAAGACTGGGGATCTTGCAGGGTCACTATTTGCAAGACTGCAACTAGAGTTTTGAGTTTATTTCCCCATCATGCACCTGGTGGAAATTTACAAGCAGATAAACACTTTTCCTTCCACTATATAGTGCTACAGATGGGAAGATACGCTCGCTGGGTGTGTAAAGATCTGGGGCTCAGCCCAGTTCACTGTAGAACTGTATATTCTGGCAGATCATCATTCAGAATTGTATTAATTAACCTGTGAACCAGTGAAATCGCTTGAAAAGTCGTTTGGTATAAGGCCGGCATTAGGCGAATGGCTAACGATACGAAATGTAAAAAAAAAGGAAAAAAATAAATAAAATCTCATCAAAATGTAAAAAATAAAAAGAATCTCATCAGTAGACGGTGGTTAAGCATCTCCAACTCTAATAAATAAATAAATCATAATAAATAAAATAAACAATTAAAATCAAAGAGCGGTGTTTTGTGGTGCAACAGTGAGGGCGGGAACAACGGTGCTGTGACGCAAACAGAAAATCCGCCGTAGGGCAGACAGTCTCATTTCGGTTCAGCCTTCGTGTGTCTAAGCAGCCTTCGAAGGACACGCCTACGTAGACTGCATCCTTTGAAGGATCCAGCCCCTGAATTGGGACACACTGTACATGTTACAACAGCATGGGTGTGTAGTTAAGAGAGCGCAGGTGCTAAATTGTACTGCCGGCAGTTCAGACCTCTTTTCCCTTGAAAAAGTACTGGGGAATTAGGAAGCTGATGTGCGTTGTTAAAAAGGAAGGTGATGTAACAAACTGGTAAACACCCTCCTGTCACAACTTTGGAACATGCTGCAGGTAATAAATATGGAATGAGCATATGTTTAGGGAAAAAAAAAGAAATAACTAAGTAAGGTAAAATATTAAATATCATTTTTGTACTGTTTTTAATTTAATACAGGTCAAACAGAATTTACTATTCCCAGCTTTCTGTTATCAGCATTCTACATACTGTTCCAACTTATCTGTAATTGAGGTTTGTAAACTTTAAATAAAGCATCTACGACACTGCACTTACAACACTGCCAAATAAAGGACACAGGCGACTCCAAAGAAAAAACGGGTGAAGAGTTTTTATGATCATTATAACCAAGTATGGTACAAATCATCACCGAGTACAGCAGCCTTTTGCATTATCGCGTTTGTGTTCGGATATGGTCGATGCATCTTGTGCAGCAAGCCCTTACAGGTTTCTCCTTGTACATTCTCCACCACAGAGACAGAAGAGAGAGATAGATTTCAGAGTTGATCATCTGCTAGTGTGTGTGTTGACTTTCATCTTGAGCCTTAGCTTTAAATCAGGTCTGACAGATCGTCATCAGCATAGAATGCCTGGGGGAACAAACAGAAACAATTTTCTTCTAGGCTCTTATATATCCTTAAACACACCTGCTCACAAACAATAAGCACAAAAATATCTTTAGCAGATATGAAAATACAATCAAATAACAGTAAACAAGATGTCAAAATAAGACTATCTGAAAGCCAGACTGTCCCACAGAACCTCTCGCTTACTGTCTCCAATAAGGCAAACTTAAATGATGATGTAAAAGCCTGGCAACCGTAGTGCATGACAGCCAATTAGCGCTTCTGACTTGCAGTTCAGGAGACAGGCTCAGTGAGTGTGTTCATTGAAGACCTGACGCTGCATGCTATACCTCATCTATCATCTTCACAGAAGCCACAGTGTTTGCTTTGCAAAACTAACAAAGCAGAATAATAAAAAGAGGACGTGTCAGTTACTTTAAAGGGAAAACAAAAGGTTGGTTTAAACAATCTCTTTGTGCCAGCGCCTACAGAGAGTGTTACATTCTTGGGTTTGCATGTGTTGGTTGTGTGCAAAAAAATGTGTTGGTATTATCTTTACATAACATAGGGGTATTGAGAGATTTACAGAGAGATCTGCCTACAGTACTGTGCAAAATTCAGAGACTACCCTTAATTTTTTTACATTTCTAATCAAAAGGGTGATTATGTTCAAGTTATTTATTTTTCAAAGTCAGGAAACAAGCAGAAAACATTTTAACAGAGAAGTTTTTCATTTGATTTACCTTTTGCTTTTATCACAGTTTCTATCCTTCTATTCACACTTGCTTCAAAGAAAGTTTTTCAAAGAAATCTGCTGGGAAATTTTTCCACACCTCCAAAGTTCAGTTTCCAAGGTTCAGTCTCACAGTCCAAGTAATCTCAGCTACAGATTTAGACTCCACAGTCCCTAAATCTTTATTCCACATCTCGGCTGTTTCTTGAAGCTACACATCCTTTCAGACCTACAGCGCTGTTGTTTTCTCACACTGGAAGGATGGACAGAAATACCTGTGCATTTTTTTTAGATTTGAACTCCAGTTTTGGAAAAACTGTTGACTTCCCCTTCTTTACACAAGAGGATCATCTATATCTAGTCACCTCAGAAACATCTCCTTTAGCAATTTTAGGTGCATATGAGAAAGAAATTCGAAGGCAGCTAATATAAGTTTTATGGAAAAGCAATCACTACAGTGGAAAAAGGTGAAATGCAATACAAATTACTTTTCCATAGTGACATACAGAATACATGCCAAAATGAAAAACAAACCTACTATTACATTGTTTTCACATCGCTTGACCTCTTAACAGAAAAACGATGCATGATGATTTGCATTTTAACAAAATGCTGAATTCATGTCAGAATTGAACACAATTCGTCTTGAAATATAATGAAGGCACCTCTATATTGCTCTCCTCTGTGCAGTACTTAAAACAACTTTAAACGCAATGCATCTTTTACTTTTCATTTTGGCATGTTTTCTGCATGTTACTGTTTAAATGAAATGTTTCACTGTTTTGGTTGAAATTCACCAAGGCAAATAAATCTGAACTACAAAGAAAGGCCAAGCAATATGAAAACAATGTAATAGAGGTTTTGCTTTTCATTTTGCCATGTGTTCTGCATGCCACCTGTGGAAAAGTAATATGTTCAAACTGTATTTCACTATTTTCACTGTCATGATTGCATTTCAATGAGACAAATCTATTTAAAGTACTGCACAGTAGAGAGCAATTTAGCAGTGCCTTCATTACATTTTAAGGCAGATTGTATTCAATTCTGACATGAATTCAGCATCTTTTTTGAAATGCAAATGCATTATACTCATGCATTATTTTTCAGTAAAAAAGTCAAGAGATGTTAAAACAATGTAAGAGAAATTTTGTCTTTCATTTTAGCACATATTCTGTATGTTGCTATGGAAAAATAATGTGTGCACTGCATTTCACGTTTTGCCACCATAGTGACTGCTTTTCAATTTAGCATAAATTCCTCTCCATAGAGTTTCAGTTTACTTGTGTGAATGTTAGTGTCTGTCTGAAGGGGAGCATAATGTCAGTGACTCCTCTGGGAACAACTTTTGACGTGAGAACAACTACAACTGGTGGGTTTTAAGATTAGAAAAATGGTGGAGCTGAAGCGACAGTATGTGCACAAAAGACTAATAAATTCAATACTGATAGATTTTATATTATACTTAATGTTTGCGTAATATTCTGTTAAATATCCAATTTCTCTTTTCCTGACATTTAAACATTAATAATTTGTACATAATTTGCCGATTTGACTAAAAATGAAATAAACAAAGGGTCTCTGAATTTTGCACAAGGCTGTATATTCCCCAAACTTGTTCTCCTTAGCTTAACTTTGTTTTTTTTGCACGTGTGTGTGTGTGTGTGTGTGTGTGTGTGTGAGAGGGAGAGAGAGAGAGAACAAACCGTCAGTCTCGTGCTCTGGGAGGTTGATAATACTGCTGCGTTGGCCGAGTGCGCCTGGGCTGCCCGTCTCCCCCCCGTCGAAACTCTAGAGAATTCTCATAGTAAACATCGTCTTCATCCTATTGAAAAGGCATCGTGTAACAGGTGATTAACAACAGTTGTTCTATTGCTGCCAATCCAAACAAAAAGACGCCAACAAGCAAGTCACGACAAGTTAGAATGGAAAAACCCAAAAACCACACTAACCAAATTACAAGCTGATTTTTAACATAATAAAGGAATAATTTTTTCAACTTATTTTTTGCACTTCCGTAGTATACAATCAGTCATTTTAAAGCATTTCCCTTTACCTAGCAAAGAACAGGAAACCTGTTGACTTAAAACAGACTTATAGTAGAAGGCAATATGCAAAGCTAAATTCTGTCAGTAAGAGTTTATGCAAAACATGTTTTGTTGTAAACCACAGTCATGAATCAATGAGTTTCCCAGGCTTCTGCCCGAGGGCCGTAGTTCCCAGAAAGCCTTATGGAAAATGAAAGTGCCATTTTTCCCCCCACTATGTTAGGCTAGTTTTCATAAGTTGGATAAAACTTCATAGGAACAGCTTTGCTAAGACATTCTCTCAGCTAACAGTTATATCTAACACTAGAATTTCCTTTCATTTTCTACTGTGAAATGAAATGTACTTTGAGAAAGCTTCTGTACCAGTGTGGATCATACTACTGTTGAATGTACTTACCCACAGGTCCATGTGTAGAGGTTTAATATTGTGAAGCAGGACCTCCTCACAGTTGCCATAGTCACTGAACACGACCACAGCGGTGGAGCCGGAAGGGTGCACTGCGTCAACCGTGGCCCGGTAGAACTGCACACAGCAGGACACCAGAAACAAAGATCCAGCAGTTCAACACTTTAGAAAAGGTCGCAATATAATGAAGTAACAGAGGCAGCCTTCACTAAATTTTACTGTTCTAAGCGGCTTTAATAAGCATGCAGCAATATAAAAGTAGTTAATACCAGGTGAAAAAAAGAATGTTTCTAAGGTTTAAAAGCAAAGCATGTATAAACAAACCATTTAAAGCTTTTAAAAGTGGCTCTTTATGGCATTAGCTGACGGTGCTTTGGCCATCTACAAATTATAGGAGGACAACTTGCCTGCCATTACCTTCCTTCAGTATTTCAAAAAGGCTTTAAAAAGGATAGCTCCATTTGGCAAAGAACTTGTATGACATGCAGTAAATACACTCACATCCTTGGAACAGATGGGCCTTTCGATCAGAATCTCAGCAGAGCAGAATTTCTTAGGTAAAAATGTGTGCATTATGACATTTTACCATTAAAGACATTTTAACAATTTCAATATTCTCCATCAATGGTGTCTTCATTCAGGTTGAATATTCTTTAGATGTTGATTATAACAATGCAAAACATGGTGTGCAGAAAACTGTTTAAAATATGAAAATACTTGGAAGAGATTATTTATCATTTACCTTTTAACTTCTGAAAGCAGACTTACTTTTATGTTTTGACTATGCTACAAAGGTGATGTACTCTGGACGGTTTTCAAGAAAGTCTGTTCATGTCAAAGGTTTCTGCATGTATTTACTGCATGTCAAATAAATCATAAATGACACCGTATGGAGCTAATCAGAAATTATATTGTGGCTGTCTCACAAAAATTTCCATTTCTTGACTGACGTCTTTTTTTAATAATTCAAAAAGTCCAATTAGCCTTTTCCTTGTGTTAAAATTTCATGGTGAATGGACCAACAGAAATTGTCCAAAATTACTTGGAAAAAAAAATCTTGTTACATTAACCTCCAGTAAAAGTTAAGAACATTTTCCATTCTCCTGTAAAATTACCATTTTGAAGAATTGATTTTTTTTCCTGACAGCAACAATATGTACAAAAAACATGGCTGGCTGCCATATTTTTGACTGACCTTGTTGTCCTCCCAATAAAGTGCAAGGCACTGGTCACCGGGTTTCCAGTTTCCATGGCTACTTGTGTCTGCTGTGTGACCCATCTCTGACCCTCTATGAGCTTTGATTGGTCCAGACCTCTTCTTGGAGGCAGAATTGTGTGAGCTGATGTTCTTGTGAGGTGGACCCGAAGACTGTGGTTTGATGGGACCAGTCCGTCTGTGATCCGAGTCGCCGTTTTGGAGATGTATGTTTGAACTCCCTCCTCCTTTAGCGAATTGACCCCCCAACCCCCCATCCTGTATAATGGTAGAATCTTTTCCTCCTGTAATGTGGACAGAATTCGAGTTGCCCACTGTCTCCTGATGACCGAATTGGGCAGAATTGGGCCTCTCTGACCTGCCTTTCCTTCTGCTGTGTGGTTCAGGTCTACCTTTAGAGTCAGGAGCCATGACAGCTGTTTCCAAAGTTTTGGGGCCCAGTGGCCCATTTCCTTGGCTCTTCCTAAAAGTAAGTGGATCATATCCACCTACCTGCTCTTGCTCTCTCAAACCTCCATCCCTTGATATATGCTGGTACCCCTTTGACCCTCCATGGTCTTTTGAGCCCTGGGAGAAGTTTCCAGAAGGACCTTGTTGCTCCTTTGACCTCAGGCTCCCCGAAGAGGTAGAGTTAATCTGTCCACCCTTTGCATCTCGTCTCTCATCCTTCCATCGATCAGATCCACCTCTTCCTCCTTTTTCTCCACCATCTCTCCACCTCTGGGGTTGCGACTGTGAGGAGGTTGGATGGGCATTTTCTGTGCCACCAGATTTGTGGAAGTCTCCGTCCCTCTGAAAGCGAGGAGGTCGGTCATTCCTCTGTGGTCTCCCCTCATTACGGCCACTGTACTTGGGTTGGGGGGCGTCTCGGGAGATCTGATCAGGATTTGGGAAAGTCATCCTGCCAGGATACTCTTGTGTTTTCTGTGGTGGCTGTTTCTTTGACTCTATAGGGAGAATCAATGGGAAAAGCTTTTAGATAGGCAATCTAAAGTCCTACATGCCTAAAACTGGAAAGTGTTTCAGCTGATCGTGGGCCACAATATCATTTGAGTCAGCTATTGTAATGGCATGCAGATCACATGCAATCTTGCTTCTGCATTAAGGGGGAAAAAAAAATAAAAAAATAAAAAACAGAAACAAAAGAATGGGAGTGCAACACCAGGGTGCTGCATTTGCTGCACTTCAAAACAAAATGTGCAATCAAGTTTGGATGCTATTTCAGAACAAATTACGACTTACTAATAAACAAAGCATGACATGACTGTTAGCGTTAAAACCACAAACACTACCATTATTACGATAATAATGCATACATTTCAAACTATTTGTAAAAGGCTGTAAAATGAAGAAAGTTTTGATGATAAACAGAGCTGTAGATGAGATTAATAAGAGGTGAGAAAGCTGTATAGCATTGACAATGAACTAAATAATTAAAATCAATCAATAAATTAATAAAATAACTAAATAGAATGCCTCGTATTTGAAAAACACCCATTAAAAGTTATTCATAAAAATTTTGCTTAATTACTATAGATAAATTATTATTTAATATCATGTGCCACTTTTTTTTTTTAACCATTTCATAACTTTTTGTTGTTCCCAAAAACTTTAAATTGTGAATAACCACTGGTTTATATTTTGGTGTCTAGTTTATTTCAGTCTACACTGTAAGTTATTATTGAATAACAACTATTAATATGACAAGTGATTGAAACTTTTGAAAGAGAGCGCAAGTCAAAAAAGCAGACCACTACACCTCTCCGTAATAAAGAAGATCAATGTGTTCCATCATCTTGGCCCCCTTTATTTCATCAGCAGACCATATGTCAATCAGAGCTCGCCAGCAAGTCCTAATGACAGAGACTTAAGAAAAGCCATCTAATAGAACTATTTTCCCTGGCTTAATGCCTTCATTTGAGATTTGCCACCTGTTTGGATCTCCCAAGTGTCATAGCTCAGAGACAGCATAGGATATGTGCAGTAAATAATAAAAGGTTTCTCTAAAAAAATAAAAAGGCAGCTTCCTCCTTCCATCGCTGTGAAGGACAATGCATCAAGGCTTTGATGTCATAAAAATAATATTACTCATGCAGTGCCTGTTTCCATGTCATCAGTAAAGCTTCTTATCTGAACTGAATGATCTACACAGGAAAAAAAGAAACATTAGGGGCAAAAAAACAAACAGAAAAGAGCAGATTCCATTTACCATCAATAGAGAAAGCGCCCATTTTAGACTCAAGGAAGTCAAACAGCGTGCTGGGGCCTGAGGGTCTTCCTCCTCCCTCATCATCATCATCTTGTCTGGTCTTTCCTCGCCCTCTGCCCTTCCCTGATACATGCAAGACAAAAGGCAACATACTATGAGGATCCCGACAAAACTTTGTTTATGACAAAAACATGCAGTAAATCTATAAATCCAGCTTTCTAGAACTGCTCCAGATACTGCATGCAGATATAAACCAGTGACCCATGTGCCTCTGATATTTGTCTTTCTAATTCATTAACCAGAGCAGCTCTATCTGGAGCCCTAGAAGGGGTGAAACTCTATTACTTGAAGCTAATTCCCTGGAGCTCATACCTCTGGGTGGTGGACGACTCGACTCCACCGGAGCTGATTTGGCCTGATTGACCCCAGTGAGCAGGTAATTGAGGGCCACATCTACATTATTGTTGTTGTCCAGCAAAGCCTGCCTGGCGGCCTCTTTATTGAAACCCATTTCCATGAGATCCCTTAGAGCCCGCTCATCCACCTGAAATTAAGATAGAATGAGACAGAAGACAGGATGTAATGAGGGGAGACTTTTGGAGATCAAAGGAAGTACTACAGCAGAGATTGAGCTGCAGAGAAAATGCTGCGCATACTTGAGGGCCGTTTGTTTGCCGAGTGGGAAGTAGCATGTTTAAAATCCAGATTTACTCAGCAAAGGACATATCCTCAAAGAAAGACCTTTTATGCAAGGCCACTTACAAAAAAGAGATTTTACATGAAAACCAGGGGAGAGTAAAATAACTCACTGAATTGCTCTTACTCACTTCTACTGAAGTCCTTACTTCCATTCTCAATCCTTTAATCATCCTCTGAATTTATGTACCGCAGTACCACATCATGATAACTGATTGATGCCAACACAGATGTACAGGCTTTTTATCAGGTAAGGGCCCCTCAGGTCTTACCAGCTCTCGGTAAACTCCATCTGGTTTGCTCTCTGTCCAGGTCTTATCTCGTTCCTCCCTCCTTTTCTGGTATGCATCCCGGTTCTTGGAAGTGGAGCCTGGGTTTGCGAGGTTGCTCCCTGCATTGCCTCCACCCCCAAACGTGCGTGTCTGCACACAAACAGAGGGACAGTCCAACAGTTGTTTTAGAAAACATGAGCATCGAGAATTTGTGATGGAGATTCATTTCGATTTTGGTACATTTCAAAGCTGTTTCTGATAAAACAGATTGCTGTACAGAAATTGAAGGGTATATACTGTAATACTGGGAATGAGGAACTAGCCTGGAAAATGATTAGATTACATTTTTCATTATTGACTTGACATATTGTTTCCTATATGTTAATAATTAGGTTCACTCATAGCCTAAAGGGTGGCAGAAATGAACAACAAACCCATTTACATATTACATCAATATGCATTTTTCATCTCCACGTGAGGGCTAAAATCTTAGAGAAAGCAAATCAATTAGACTTAAATGGCCATTTCCTTGGAAGGTTTTATTTCAACACTTTAGAGACAATATTTTCTCTATCTAATGAATTTTCTACTAATGAAATCCAAAACAGCAAGTCAAATCTTAATCAAATTGTGATTCCTGGCCTCAGCAATTATTTGCCTGAGGAATGCAGCGATTATCTAGTGTATCTTTACTGTTATAGCAGAACTGCTGCTAAGCATGTTGTGACATCCCAAGAGTATTCTGTGAGTGCTGCGATGAAGCACAGACCTTCCTATATATTAAGGAACTCAATTAACACCTGTAACTGCAAATCATTAAACATAATAAGACGGATAACCTACCATCAACCACATCACTCTGATAAATAATTATTCATAGAATTTAATGGATCAATTGGAGCTCTTTATAGTAACAGCAAAAGGTTTGAGGATTTTTTCTTTTACCACAACATGTTCACATATGTGTTTCTCACTACTGACATTTACCATTTTTCTCCTTTTCAGAAAAAAATGAGTGTACATAGCTTTTGAGTGTGCATCACTGTTGAATCTCTTTACTTTGTTTTCCTTGTAAGGATTGAACTGAAGTAACAAAATGTTGTGTGGCAAAATACAACTGTCAAAGTGTCAATGCTACATTTTGTAAAATACATACGTTTTAAGAATAGCATCAAAATACAGTCTGACAACAGTATACCGCTTCTGAAAGTAAAATCATTATTTACAGATTTATTCAAAGAGTTTTTTTTACTCGTAATGTTCGTAAGAATAACCCAGTCAGTTATTAACCAGCAAGGATGCGACCCATTAAAATATTTATTATAAAATGAATAGTTCAGTTTCTAAAATCAGGAAGTCTTTGGCTAAATTTTGTTCAAAGCAACCGTAAAACACTATATACGCACACGTATGAGTACACACATTAACTGAATTCTGTGTTAATGCACGGAGATAAAAAGTGTTTCTTGTATGAAAAGTCAACCATAGTACTGATAGGTGGAGCCAGTCAGCCAGGTGTGTATATTAAGTAAATGGCCTGAAACTATATTAAAGTTATATTAAACCCACATAAAACTCAGTTTTGTTTAAACTGAGGGACTGACACCTCTGAGAGACCTGATACGTCCATGATTATATGATCAGCAACTAAAACGTTGATGAACTCACTGGAAGATACAATGAAGGGCTCCTAAACATTCAAGAACAAAGTTCTAAAGTTGTATTTTTTGTGTATTTACTAGTTCAAATTAAAACAAACATAAATGCCATGGCTTCATTTTTTTAAGGCCTACTTCGCAAACCTAACCACCTATTGTGCCATCATGTGTACAATTCACAAACAATCCTGAACTTAAATGATAAACCAGCCTATTCAAAATGGAACTGCTGTTAATTGGAAATGAAATGAATTTTTAACCACCAGTACTTGTGGAACAGTTGATTATTTGTTTAATCATTTACATCCTTAGTCATCTCACAGAAAATTGTACATGAGCAAATGGGCTATAGAAACAGGCTATATCAAGCAGTGCTCTCCGCCAGTGTAGACCTGCTGGCATTTTGGGTATACACAAAATGCACCCATGAAAAAGGCAGTACAAGAAGTCCTGGAAGTCTAACCTCACCTCTTTGCTTTTAGCAATTTCAGCAATGGCAGCAATCCTCTGCTTCTCAAACTCGTCATTTTCGTTTGCTGTTTTGGCCGCATTGCTGCTCTGTAAGGTTTTCCTCTGGTCCAGAGCCCTACTGTCCACCTCCTCCTTGCGTACACATTTCTATGGACAGAAACAACTGCTATCTTCTTGCTATATACAATGGTTACGTAGTAACAAGACAGGTCGCCTGATATTTTGTGCAATGGAATCTAAATTGAGCTCAACTTACCTGTCCAAAGGGCAAAAACGGAGGTGGTCCACCTTCTGCGCCTATATTACTCCTGCTATGCTTGGCCAGACTCTGTTAAAATCGGAGGATTTAATGTTTAATCAAATGTACACTCAGTAAACACAGTTAATGGCCACACAATGAAGAACACATTTATATCATAAAACAAAAGGCACAGAAAACAGAATGAATTTAGTACATATGACTTTATATAAGATGCATGAGCAACATGACATTTCCACTGCAGATAACTACTAATGACAAAGTTTGAGCAGCAACATTTTTCTTTCCAGTAATTGCTAATACTTTAAGTTTTCTCAAGAAGTAGTGTTTCCTGCTCACCCTTTGTAACTCCCATTTCTCGATCATGTGATCCACCTCTCCTCCGAGGACTGTGATCTTGGTATCGTCTAATAGCAGAAAGCCATTCTTTACTGGCACTGTGCCCAGGAGCTTCACTTTGGTTCCAGGCGGGGTGTTCAAACTGCAAGCACAGCATGAAACATCAGCAAAGATCAGGTTTAAACATGCATTACTAGGGCTTGACTAAAATGATTTTAAGGAGGCAAGAATTTTAAAAATCAGCATAATAGATTATACAATTTTATATGGTTGTAAGATTTAGACGTCTCAGCGTGATTTCTGCAGACACTGAAAGATCCATCTACCCCTAATCCATACATTAAGGGTGCACAAGTCCTGAATTTTTATGGCTGTTTCTGATGTCTTTACAGCCAAATTACAGCCAATCAGTGATAACCTTTTTCTTTATTCTTCTAGTAACAAGCAACAAAGACAATATTATTATTAATTCACTTTTTTTTCCCTGAAACTCACACAGTCAGCACAAAACAGTACATGCACTTCAGATTAAGCATTTCGAGGACCATACATTTTTACAGAAAACGTACTGTACTAAAATGGATTTATAGCCTTTACAAATATAACCTTTCTAGTAGGGGTCAGTATCTGACTGAGCATGAAGCGACGAAAAGCAGAGAATGCACAGAGAGTGTATGTTTGCAGTCAAGAAATTGTGTGCATATGAAGTAAATAGGCCCAAAGGACTCTAAACATACCCTACAAAGGAACGCAATTTCGTTTAATAACCAGCTCCGCAGACTGCTAATGCTATGTTTACATGGATCTGGTGCAGCACTGAACGTGAACGCATCCTTCCCCTTCATCTGGCTGCATATGGGTGTCAGGAGGGCAGTTCCTGTGAAACCAAATTGAAATGTAGTCTTGCTAAGTCAATTTTTATGTAATTTATGCTTTTATTTTATTGAATAATCAGAAAGTCAGCATAATATGCATCATTAAACAAATTCCTTCCAAAATGTTGAGGTCAAACAAGTCAGATTAGGATTAAGGGCACCGATTTCCACTTGCATTAGTCATTTCAGTCTATTAGCAGCCAACAGATGGTCTTCCCACTCAGATTTTAAATTCTGGAGGTAAAACAGCTGTGTTTAAATATATGAGCTTTTGCCACTGGTCTTCCATTTTGCACAAGAATGTTTGAAAAGTGGAGTGAATGTTTCATGCACGGACCTGCAGACATGTATCGTACAAACAACACCTGTATCCTGATGCTTTGTGTTTGAAGTTCAGCTTCACTCTATGTTTTGATGCACCACATAACCTAAATATGATGCGTCTGACCATGGAATGCATGGCCGTGATGGACAGGACCGCTTCCCATTAAAAATAAATGGGATATGCGGTGCCAGAGCAATGTAAACGCAGCGTAATAAGTTAACAGACTCCTCCAGTAATATGCAAATACAGGCTTTAGGTTTTGTGCGTTTACTGAGAGGTTCACCGTTCGCATCTTACATCAAATGTCACAACTGCCATAAATAGTATTACTATATCATTAGTGTGGCATGCCACCTTTAGGCACTAACATAACACAAAATATGATGTGATGGCAGAAATTTGCATAATACTAGCCAGCAAAAAAGTCTGCTTATAAAAGAGAATTAGAACAAATTTATATACTGATCAGGCTCTAGCAATTGCTGATATTATAGTGTATAAACATTTAAATATAACCAAAGATGCATAAAATTGACAGAATTATGTAGTTACAAAGTCTGCAGCATAGCAACACAATGCTTCCCTATTCAACTACACAGTAGTTACTTATCAGAGGGAGAATCCACATTTTCAAGTTCACTGCACTTTCTGATTTTTACTGACTGAACATAATATCCCCTGACACAGACAGACTTTTCACATCAACTTGCTGTGCAAGTGTGGATTAGCAGCCAGCAGTCTGATTTTAATTAAAGTGGAGATAGCGAAAAGGGAGGGAGAAGAGGAGAGAGCAAGAGAGAAGCAAACAGAAGGGAGGGAGGGAGAAACTCAATTTCCCCCCACAAACATTCCAATAAGCTATAAGCCAGGGGAGACTTGGTGCAGTGAATGTGCCAAAATGTTAGCTTACTTCCTCAAATGGATCTCCCTGCCCATGCCCCAGACCAAATTTCAATACGACACGGTGGACTGCCGAAAACAGCCCAGCTAAAAATAATCGCGCCCCTCTCCTCAGTCACGCCCTCCCCACATCCACTCAGCTTGGACAGCCTCCCCCTGGGCCTGGCTCTTCTGAGCCCTCTCATTAGAAAAGCCCAGGGACTTAGGCAGGATTCTAGTAGCTGATGCGTGACGCCACCACTGCAATTAGAGCCATCTTCCTCTAGGCCCGTCCAGCTGCGGCGAGCAGGCTCCTGCGGGGATAAAGCACCACAAAACGAAAGCCAAAAGGGAGGCCCAATGTAGTGGGTCTGGCTAGCCCGCTAAGCTCATCTACTACTTTTTTTCTGGCTTAAGATAACATGAGCACTGAGAATTTGTGACCCAGACAAATTCATCTGCTACTTATCAGCACCGTGATAGGGCAAAAACAAAGCTACGCTGCATAACATGGACAACCGGGATCAGTTTGGTTATTTCCAGCCAGAATCAACTGTGACTGTCAGTGATGGGTATATTCTAGTGATATGTTGATCCATGCATGTTTTAATGTAATCGCGTGCCAGCTGTCCACATAGCTAATATTAATTAATCACTATAAAAGAACTGCTATTGGCCGATATTTAATATTACATCAGGTCATTAATGGTCATTAATTAATGACCATTAATGGTCCAGTAAGGTGTGTTATCAGAAGCTAACAGAGTGTCTGCAACAAAGTGTCACAGTGGAATATGAAAGCTTGTAATATCAGCAGCGCATGACTCCATGTAAGATAGATGTCTTTTGCCAAAATACTGTCACTTGCTGTGAGTGTGGTGCCACAAAAACATGCACAAAATACAATCCTGCCATGTATTTCACTCGTTCGCAGAGCCGGGTCACTCACTTTCAATTTAAACCCGGCATTATCTGAAATGGCACAATCAAAGATTTGAGCCATATTGGAAGGATAACCATGTCCAACCAGGGCTGCATCGATACAGGATTTGTGGGCCAATGCCAACATCCAATATTTTTCATGCACATATCTGCCAATGCAGATTAAACATTCATAAAACGTGGTAACTGGGAATAAATCCACTTGGATTAGCATTACAAAGAAATGACTTATTTCTTCAGGGTTACAAATGCAGTAAAATGAATAAAATGCAAGTTTGTTTGCATATTAGCCCAGTATTGCCTAAACTTTCTGCTCTTATATAGTACAATACACACAGTCTAAAATTTGACGAATCTAAAAATCTGCTGATAAAAAATGATTCTGATATCATCGTGCATCACTACTCACATTATCAAATGAGTATTTCACAGAATTGGCCCATACAAAAACAAAAGATAAGTGTTCACACTGTCTACCTCTATGCAAGTATAAAAATTAAGCGATTTCTAGGGCTGGACTCAAATATTCAACTATTCAGATATTCGTTCACTGGATAGGTATTCTGTTTGTAATTTTGGGATTTGGATATTCTGGTGTTTTTTGGCAATATGTAGGCTATCAATAAAGGCAAACTGCAAAATACTGAAGCTTTATTTTTAATCTGCTGAAAACAGCACCAAACACCACGAGAAGAAACACAGCCTCACCAGCGTTAACAGCTAAAAGCACAGCCCTCTACTCTACTCTGGAAAACCACCACAGCACCCATATTCAGGCTCTTCAACATAAAAGTACAAATAAACCTAAAACAGCCCAACAATTAACATTTCCTCTCTGAATCAGTACAACGCAGGGAGGCGACGCCACAATACATTTTGTCAGTATATTCTTTTAATACATTTACACTTTTTTAAAATTACTGTTTAAATGTGGAAATATATACCATCTTAGCTCAAGCACCTGACATCCTGTTCACTCTCAGCAGCAAATGTCACGCTAACACGGTGCAAGACAGCACCAAGATGTCTGCCCTTTGCCAACGTGTTGAAAGCGTATTTAAAAGAGAACTCTTTCAAAACTCAAAGAAGGATATGTCTTCTGATTATGTAAGTGAATTATCTACTACTGTCATCATATCCTCACCAGTATAACGTTGATTTTGCATTTAAATTCGATGCCTACATTAGCGTATAAGGACGTACTGTGATATCTGACTCGAAACCTTTTTTACTATTATTTCCTTTACTGGACTTGCAGCAGTGCACACCCACCACACGAATACATTTTTCTCCCTCCTGACTCAATAATGCAGCTTCTTTCAATTTTAATTTAAAAAAAAAAAAGCACTAATATCAGTGATTTGCCCAGAACTCTAAGACAGTCTCAGCACGCGTGTAATATTCCAGTGATTCAAATATTTGACAAGTAGTGCTTTCAGACCTAACAATTTTAAAATGCTGCGCAGTGGGCATCCTCTAAACATTGAAATGCATTAGGCTGATTGCAGTGTTTTGAGATTACTTCAGTATAAATGCCAAGAGCATGATTTTGGTAATAGTACGACACTGAAACACACAAAACAAACCCTCCATTTTACCTCTGTTGCTTAAATTAGAAAAAAAAGAAAGAAAGAAAAAAAATGTCTTAAGATTGGTAGTGGAACAGTAGTTAGTATTATCTCCTGAAACTGAGGAGGGAGGGAGACGGGAATGGGCAGAGATGGGGCGGGGCAAGAGTGATGGAGGGAGGGAGGAAGGGAGGAAGGAGGTCCGCGTAGATAAAGAGAAGCCTGTTCCTCCGACAGCAGGGCAATGCTACAGTCTCCACCTGTAGAGGCTGGCGCATCGCCATGACGACGGCTGCTGCCTGGCCAGAGCAGTAACTACGACGGGCGATTGGAGGATGACGGCCCAATGGAGAGGGGTGAAACAGGGGTTAAAGGAAGGGGAGGCGAGGAGAGGCCACATGGGTCAGTGTGCAGCGTGTATTTGGCAGCTCTTGAAAAGAAAGAAGCCTTACATGCTGATCTAGGATCAGATTTCTCCTTGTGAAACTGAACTGGATAACAAGGCTAAACCCACAACAACATTTTCCTAATGCGGTACATGCAAGGCAAATGTCAAAACACAAGCAGTGGATCTTTCTTGAATATTAAAATCTACCATTAGCCTGTTTCGGACAGATTTTAATTTACATGGGGACCAGGATTTACCAGGCAGCTGCCGCCTCGCAATGAGGGGAAACTAAATAAATAAAAAAAGGTTTTTAAGCGCTACTGCTCTTCATATTTGCGTACTCCTATTGCGCATATCCACATTAAACACATGAATCAAGAAACAATGGATGCTTAGAAAGAGTCGGAGTGGTACAACTTTGTCCTCTACACTAGAGGAGAAAAAACAGAAGAGAAAAAAAGAAAACAAAAAAAGATCCCACAGGCTGATTAAAGGGACAATTGTAATGGCAGGTGCAGGTATAAATCCTTACTTTTCTTTCATAATATCAACAACATAGTTTTCTATGATCATATGACTGTGTGAAACATACAGCTGGGTTCACAGAAAATACAACCCACTAGAAACTTGTTCATCCTGTGGTACCTTTATTTCCATCCAGGCGCAAGAGTTTTATCACTGAGGAGATGCATAACAATTTTATTATAAACATCCCCCTGATACATGAATTGAATCTGAATAGGACTATTGTCTACACAAAATCTCCTGACACCAATTATCTCAATTAATAATTTTTGCAGCAACTGAACACATTTATTGTCATTTAACATGGCTTTAGGAACAAACAGTGTAATAAATAATCAGCTATGTATTTCTAATCAGGCTGCAAAAAAATAATAATAATCAAAATTGATATTGAATTACCCATTAGAATTAACTGACAATCCATTAATCTGCTCAAACGTTGCCTGCATATCTGAAGAGCTATAATAAAAAAAAAAGTTTGGCAATGTTTACATGACAAACTGATATACTGTTCGGCTGAATGATCACCATGGAAAAATATGGCACTTCATTTAAGGCTTCCCATAATTTTGATCAACAGTAAGTAATACACAACAGCTAAAAATAAGTGATATAATAATGTCTTCAGGCTGCAGCTTCATTTAACATTTCAATGTGCTAGTTCAGTAGACAAGCTAGATGTACAGGATTCCAGGATGGGGGCCTTTTTTTAAAAGGAAAACTATGTTTGTGACTATGTTTATATATTTTTAGGTTATTAATCAGTTGTATGTAGTTAGCTATCTAACGTAGGTAACGTTGTGAGAGGATGAGCTTACGAACGTTCTGTAGTTTTGTAATTAACAGAAACCGAAGCAGCTTAGTGATTCCAGTGCCTAACATTAATGATAAGTTTTAGTGATTTTTATAAGGGTAATGTTAGGACATGCTGACAAATCACTTACAGTCTGAACTGTACGTCCTGGGGAGTAGTTTGGTTTGTCGTAACACTGGCACAGAGGGAAAGCTGCCATTTACTGACCAATCTATCGACACCTGTTTGTTTTCTTTGCCGGTAGTCAAAGATAATTCCGTGGAAAGCCAAGTAAGACTTGCATATCTTGTATGTGACTACTTCATTCTTAATTTTAAGAAAACACTCAGACTTTCAGCCATAAGTGTCCGTTTTCTTTGGTACCTGCTCACATAGGTTAAGCTGTTAACTCACTCTAGATCAGACGTCATTTTGAAAATGTAAATAAAAAAGCGACAGAGGAAATATCAGTTGACAATTTTTATTGTCGTAATTAACAATAGTGTAGAATATTTGTTTTAGCCCTAATTTGTGCCACACTGCCTTTAAATTGGATTATTACAATTACAAAATATTTTAATAATGCAATTTTATATATGCTTATATGATAGGAAATAACATAAGCAACAGCAACTTGTGTAAATCAAATTTCATTTTCAGAAAAACTTAACAAATCTGACTGGGAGAGGTTGACAAACACATCAATGAGTGTCTCTGCAAGATCTGACATGGCAGGTTGAGCTACTTGCTACAGTTGTCACAGTTAAAAATCACAGCCTGACTGCAGCAACATGTCCTTCGTCTGGCCTGAGGCAATCAGGAGAGTTCTTACTCTGATCAGGCTTATATTCCCACAAGTGGCAACCCTTACTCTGAGCACTCCTACTTCAATGTTAAGTGTTTTGTGTGCATGATGAAGGCAGGGATGGGTCATCAGCCAATTAGGCATAATTATTAGCACTACACTAATGTGTTTAAACTCTTCAGTCTTACAGTCATTGATTTTCAGGCTGGTGGGTAAAACTGAGCTAATTATGTCCTAATTGCTTAGCAAATCTAAAAGTCACAACTACACAGGGAATTAAAATTTAACTGACAAGACATTCGTACATTAGCTTAAAAGGACTGATTGGTTTTTAATTTAATGCATGATTAATTATGATAATGCTCAAAGCCACATTAATTAGATACAAGTGATTACTTGTGAATGTGGGCGGTCAGCACAATTTGCAATGTGCAACTGAACTGTGATGAACTTCATATAGAGATTTAATATGTCCACCCTTTGTCTTTATTACAGCTTCAATTCTTTTTTAAAAAGACACACACAAGCACACACACGGGACACATCAATACCATATTTTTAGACTGAGTATGAGTACATTTTTAGTACTTGCCGATACCGATACATGCTGAGAAACCTGCTCAGAATTAAGTAGTTGTTAGCGTAAATGAGAGCAAATGTACCTAAACAATTAAATCAATAAAATCCAGCTAATTTTAAATAAAGTGCATTAGCTAGCTATGCTACATTAGTTCGAGTAGCACTGCAGTTGAGAAAAGTGGGTTTTGTTCCATGTCAGAAAAGCGCTTCTGTATAGCTTTGAGTAAAGCATGTTTCATGGTTTTGAAACCTGTTCCTCATCCTCATCACATCCGAGGACCTCACATTACATTTGTTAAAGTCTTTTTGGCTGGTTGAATTGTAGCTGAATGTCCTCTAAAGCCAGGCATACATTGTGCAGTTTTAGAAATCTTTTTTTTGGTCACACTGCACATTCGAACAGACCATTGTGTAATCACAAAGCCTACATTTATATTCTGCGAATGCTCGAAAATGCTTGGTCTGATTAACACGCTATGTGAAATGCTGCCTCTACAGACAGCTCTGTCTGCCCGAGTACTGAGCAATAACTGTGCTCCAGCAGCTCTGTGCAGTAAACCAAAACCAGGCAGTGATGTTCACTGCAGGACAGTACGGACTCTACGGCCTATTTCCCAAAGACAAATTTAAAAAACAAACAAAAAAATATATATATTAACGAGATATCAGTTTGTACCTCACATGTAAATTCAGTCAAACAGACTAAAGCATATATAGACTTCGGCATCGCAAATATTGACTTTTTTGCCTCCGTTTAGCTAGTCTGTGTGTGTCTACTGTATTAGGGAACTGGCTGTGATTGTGTTCATTTAAAAATGGGCTAAAATCGCACAACATATTCAGGAATATGCCAAGGCAGAATCTTTAAAGTGACCTACAACTTTGCGTTGACCGCCACAGAGTCAGTCAACACTTCACTGTGTGAGCAGACCCTTGGTCACTGCCAGCTTGAGCCATTTGCTCATTAGCATGGCAGCGTTCACTAGGCTTACATCACATGGTATCTGCATGTTGGTATTGGTGCATTTTTATGAGTATGAGTAAATTAGCATGGTACCCTAGACCTGATACATCCCTAGTATACATACATATAAAATCCCCCAACATTGTTATAGTTAAATGCAACACACATGGATTTCCTAATGGGGAAAAAAGGGGTTATCTCAGGGATGTCCTCTGAACGGTTTACCTGATTTTTGACAGATGTTTAAATTCAAGCCCTGTGCACATTGTCTGCCCATCAGTCATTTGGAGGCGGAGCATTCGGGGCGCAGCCTGGGATTCCTCATTCTCTTTTGGGGCAGCAACATTCCGGATCTTCTGAACCTGAAGGACACATGGGCCTTCCAACTGAGAGGGTGAAAACAAGCAACAGTTTTATTACCAGTCCAAAACTACATATTTCCCGCAAACTCATTTCATGTGTTTTAGAAAAGGATAAAAATGGAGGCGTAAAAGAAGCAATTCACGCATTCCCTCTTATTCCTTATCCCGCCCCTTGAGTAAGCTCCACTTAGATTTACTTACAGGGACACCCAGTGGTCACCATGTGAAAGCGCACGAACAAAAGTGAACCTCACTCACTATTTATAAAAACATACTGTATAACCAAACACCCACTATGACACTCTGTCCCATACACACATTTATTTATCTGAAATTATTACTTTCTCCACTCTGCCACCATTGATGTCAGTAGGCAGGAAGCTCTTTCCAATGGGTCTCAGATCACTCTGTGGAAGACAATAATAAAGCACTATTTAAAATGACGTTAACGGCAACATACTGGCTCCTCATGCTGAAATTAATATTAAATGTCCCCCAACCCAATCTCTACAAATACTTATTTCCAAACTTGAATCATTACAACAAACAGGAAAAATGCTCAGTTACAGTCTGGCAGAGTAGTTACCTGCTGCAGAATAACAATTACAATACCTTTCTATATACATATAAACTTACATTTAATGCTACATTGATGATGTCATTGAGCGTTGCTTTCTCTTTCTCCGATGGGCTCTTGCATTCTTCTATTCCTTCATCTGTGAGATACCTAAAAGAAAAAAAAACAACATGTTACCTTCAAATATACCTAACCATTAGAGCCTGCTTATGCTTCTACTATGCAAATGTATATTACCTCCCCTCTATTAGTCCTGCTTCGGTCATTTTGAAGCTGAGAATGATTCTCGCTTCTCAGCTTGTTTTTGTTCATATTAAATTGAGTCTCAAATATTTTTAGAAATAATGCTGTATGTAAGTTTATAAATAAACTAGTTAACCCCAAACAAACAATGCAAAAACACCCGCAGAGCATTTAAAAGTGACTCTATAGATTGCTAAATGTTGCTCACTGTATTCAGACCTTTCTGAATATCAGTGCCAAACAACTCCCATGAATCACTGTAATTCACTGCTGAGCATGGTTAGAAAATCATAGACCACGTCTGTTAACAGACTCCAGTATTAAACTACAGACGTACACCTGAAATGAACTATACTGAAAGCAATGTATCTTTGTAAATGCATTTAAACCTGACTATTGCTACAAAATTGACCAGCAGACCTTGGTACCTTTGTGGTCAGTGGCGCTCTCTGTTACTTAAACTGCATTCATAGTGCACAATAAATTAAAACTGCATTCAAATTATGATGTTTCTTTGGATGTTGGTCTGTTTGTTTCCATTAAGATCCCAGAAGTGTTACATGTAAATCTATACAATTTGTGACAAGAAGGTGATTTGTCTGATTTATTGCATGCATCAAGTTTAGCACCTCTGGCCTTCACACAATTCTCCTTAAATGTAGCATCATAAGAAAAAACTGATGGGTCCTGACTATTTTCAATGGTTATACCTTAGATGAACTATTTGAATGCACACAGTTGAACATTTATTTATATGAATGAAAATAAGATTTGAGATTTCAGCAAAATCTGTAAACTAAATTTAGTAAAAATAAATAAATAAAAAATAAAATAAAAAGAAATTCACTTTTCAGCCATTTGAATAAATTATTTAGATGTTCTCAGATAAGCTCAGACAGCAAATGGACCTCAAAAAATTAATACATGTAATACATTTCCAGATACAGACATAAATGAATTACAGGGGTACTCCTGCCCAACCGAAAAAGCAAGCAAAGCTTCATCTTTTGCAAACATGCCTACTCACCTCTTTCTGTGGCTCTCTCTAAAGTGAGTCTTTCTGGTTAAAAGACTTGGAAAAGCCCCTTTGTGATGATGTATTTTGAAGGTGGAGGAACTTTTGAAAATCATTAACTGCTGTTGGGGCAGATAACTTGAAACAGGCTGTTAAAAAATGTTCCCTCCCCACCGAGCCAATGCTTAGAAACTGAATACAATGTCCGTGTTTATTAGCCTCTACATTAGTGGCTATGCTAGAAGTCAGGATTTCTTTAGTGCCATAAAGGGGGGGGGTCCTAATGATTGTATGTCTAATGTATGATGGTTATTTGTACTGAGAGAACATGGACAAACACAAAAAGGAGAATTCTCTCAATCCGATGAGGCTGGGGGATTCAATGGAGGGCTACAGAATACTACATAACATGACAAATAACAGATGCTAGTTTTAGGCCAGAACACCCCTTTCAGGCTCACTTTTCCATGCTTAATGTCACAGCAGACATCAGTGCATAAAAGTTTAAAGTTCATGTTCTGTTTAATAGACAGCAAAGGTTTTCAGGCATGGCTTGTCTGCGTGTCTGTGTCTTGCTGGACAGTGCTTTCCAGGGACTTAACGGCTGCATCCGAATAGTTGAATGAAAGTTCTTTTCCCACCTGCTTTCTCTGTTTTTGCATGATCTGGTATACATGAGGGTCCACAAGCTAGTCAGCTCCGCCAGTACATTAAATGAGCAGGCAAAATCAAGAAATGCTGATAGAAAGGGAACTTTTATTAACCTACTGGGACGCAGCCAATGCCTTCCCAGCCTAAAGCAAGATAACAATTAGCTAGCTAATGGCTAATGGCTTTTTCTGTTGACAAAATGCTACCCAAAGCAAATAAGGGGTAAAATGTTAAAGGGGAACTCCACCATTTTGTCAAAATTTCTGTATAATTAAATGGTTAAGATCATTCAGAGTGGTTTTGTGAGAAATGCTTCGTTCTACAGAAACTTGCAGAGCCAGAATTGTTCACAGTGGTGGTGATGGGAGCCAGACGTCTGAGGAGTTTAACGCCTCGAGAAGCTTTTTGCATGAAATGGTTATGAATACCCAGCCTGATGTCTCAGACATTGTTTTTTTAATAGTTACGCAACAAAGATTTTCCACTATTTTATCACCATCCATGTTATGTATAAACACTCAGAAGACACGTGTAGGTTCACTGGTGGTTTTGGATAGTAAATAAAATGACTGGTGTTGTAGACATCGGGACCCCTGGTTCCCATCACCACCACTGTAAAGATATCAGAATTGGTGGGTTTCTCTGCAAATGAACCACTTCACATTAAATCACTCTGTATGACTTGAGTCATATCTCAACTACTTAATTTACAGAAATCTTGGAAAATCGGAGGGATTCCTTCTAGAGCCCCATCACAAAAAACGCTATCAATTTTAAAGTTTACATTCAGACTAAACTCAGTATTAGCCGGCAATAAGCCAACACAAAGCAGACATGCAGCAGACGAATGTTAGCTAGCTGACTGAGATAGGTGAATTGTTAAAGAACGCTTTTTAAAAGTCATTTTAGAAGGCAAACTAGTGCAAAAACCGACGTCGGCCACCAAACTGACAACTTTAATGCCTCACAGCGAACGCCTTGTTATTGTAACAGCTGCTGCAAAAGCTACCCGAGCAATACACTGTGAGGCTAACTCGCAGCTGCTAACATTAGCTTGCTAGCTGGATTATACTAGTCTATCGGGGGGTCTGAGCGAGTTAGCACACGTAGCTAGCCAGCTTATTTAAACGTCCACGGGCTAATTAGCTACATTAGCGACACATCACAGTTCTTTACCTCAGCCAGCAGTTAAATCTGATGTAAAACTGAGCCCACGTATCAGGAGCTAACATGCAATGCTAGCGTTAGCCTAGCTAGCGTCACTCAGAACAGCTCTGCTGTCGACAGCATCTCTCTCCGCTGTTACCCACCATCCTTCCTTAGCGAGAGCTGAACTCAGCTCCGTCATCTTCGAGGACGTCCTTTAAAAGCCGGCAGATAAATTATCGGAGTAGTAGCTGGATTCCCATGGTTTTTCCACTCCGTTGTGCTTTACTCTACTCAGTCCAGCGGCTCTCTGCTAAAAACAGACGCGACTCCGAAACTTGTAAAGCGTCACGGGTCAAAGTTGAAACGCTTCCACGGTGACTCCGTGATGGGGATGGACGATACCAGAGAACTTGACGATACATTTCATTCTCCTCGTTACTGGTTTAAGTGAGTTCACAAAGGCAGATATTATATATGGAATGCTTTTCCGAGACACAGATTCTGAAATGGTTGTAAGTGTTATTTTATTGTTAGGAAAACTTTTCATACATAAAGTAAGGTATATTATATAATCATAAGGAGCTCATGTCCTATTTTGGTACCTTAGAGTGCATGAAAAAGAAAAATGGCCAAAACGTTACTAAAATTAATTTATGAAAGTGGTTTGAAAGACGCTAGGGAGTAATTGCGCCTCCCCTAACCCCATATATATATATATATATATATATATATATATATATATACATACATACATACATACATACATATATATATATATATATATATATATATATATATATATATATATATATATATATATATAGTTTGATATGGTTACTTGAATTTACTGACTTTCGGTTTGTGTTAAGTAAACAAGTGTACAATGTTTGTACATTAATTGCATAAATTAAAAAAAGAAAATAGACTTTTTAATAAGCACAAAAAAACGTTTTTTTTTAATAAGCACAAAATCAACATTAAGGCAGGAAACACTGAAAACCATCAGTGGCACCCAGCAACAAAAAACAAAAACAAAAAAATGTTAAATTAAAATATTGCTATGGGCCTTCAGAAAGAGCACAATGTTTGAAGCACAATGAAGTCATTTTCTCTAAAGAGAGGACATACAAAAACAATTCCATCTTAAAAACCAAACGTCTGGGAGAGCTCTCATATATTTGCATTTATGAATGTAATATTTCTCTAAAATAATAATAACATTAATAAACAGATCCATGCTAATATCTACATTTGTCTGCTAGCTAAATCATAGTTTTCGAGATATCGACACTGTTCCAACTCTGGAATGTTTGGTCTGATCAGAAATAGTCTGCTTGTGAACAGCTTTTTAATCAGACATACAGTTTTTGTACAATTATCAAAAAAATTATGAGTTCTCCCCAGGAATGAATGATGGAAATGTCCGTGCAAAAGGTACAGAACTGCACTCCGCTTACAGAATGATTATAAGTACACTAGCAACATCCTAATATCTATATGCCATACCATAGTAACTGCCTAGCAACACTCCTAGCAACCACCTCGGATACCATAGCAACCACCTAGCAACCAACTGGGACACTATAGTAACCACCTAGCAATATCCTAGCAACCACCTGGAACACTATAGCAACCATCCAACAACACTCTTGAAACCACCTGGAATTCTACAGCAACACCCTAGCAACTGCCTAGCAATCACTTGGGTTACCACAACAACACCCTAGCAGCTGTTTAGCAACACCTTAGTAACTACCTGGGATACCAAAGCAACCACTTAGTAACACACTAGAAACCATCAGAAATAGCTAAGCAACATCATAGCAACCACTTGGGATACCATAGCAAACACCTTAGCAACCACTTGGGGTACCATATTTATCACTTAGCAACACCCTTGCAACCACCAAGGATTCCACAGCAACTGCCATATTTTTAAGGGTTCTTGCGCGCATAAAAACAAGACTTCTTTGTGATTTTTACGGTGAAAACAAGTAAATATGCACAAATGTGGACAAATTATGTTTGAAAGTCTGTGCCAGAGTAAAAAAATGTATGTAAATGTATGTAAATTTTATTTCTGTAATGAAAAATACTTTTGAGAAGGTTCTCTTTTTATGCTATATGCTTTACACATACACTATCAATGCTATATTATTATTAAAATTATTCAATTATTAGAGAAATAAAAATGTATTTTCCATTAAACATTATCTATGTTAGTGATTCTTTACATATATTTATATCAAAAGTTAATGCAACAACATTTTATTCTAAGATGTTTTGAACTATTGCTATTGATCTGTTCCTCACAGAATTTCAACAACGTAAATGGCAGCTGGTGTTTTCAAATTACATAAAAAAATTAACTCAGACAAAAAAGGTCATTTGTTGCCGTGTCTTCATTGCTTTATTGTTACCCTAAGCATCCCCCCCCCCTCCATTTTCCTCTTCCTTACAAGCGTCCTTTTGCTCTTGCCAGGCTGCCACTCTAAATAAGAATTTGTTCTTAACTGTCTGCCTGATTAAATTAAGGTTTCAAGGAAAAATATTAAAGAGCTGTCTCATAATCAGACTTTTTAGTGGAGTCAAATAACTTCATGTGATCTTCCTTTGTACAGTATTCAGTCTTGTGCCAATTGCTCTCGTGCAAAGTGTTTATGAGAAGCAGAGGGAGACAATGGAACAAAAAGTTTCCTGCATTATTTGCCAAGATCTTTTCTTTCACTTCTTTAGCATCATAAAAAGATAGATACTGAGTTTACTCTTCAAAAACACAGTATTAATATTTTTGCATGAAGATCAGGTATCAAAAAGAAATATCAGTATCAGAGCATCAGTCCGTCCTCCCCTACTTCATGAACAGATTCAGAACATAATCAAAAGTGGTTCTTTATTCTGGAGGGTGTTTCAAAATAGGAGAATTTCTTACATAGCCACACAACTCAAGCATAATGACGCATCTCTCTCTCTTCTGTCTACATTCACTTTTGCATGCCGAGTGGCTAAAAGATGAAATACACGTCTTGTTCTTTTGTTTTCTGTTTAATGCAATATTGCAACAATGGTGGTCTGTAGCTGCCCAGCATGGGCATAATGAGATCAGGTTTATGATATGACTCAGGTAGATACATGAACACATTACATGAACTGGGCGGAGTTTCCCAAAAGCATCTTAACACAAAGGTGAGTCTTAAATGATGAACTGAACCCTCTCTCTACCAGCTGAGATGATCTTAACACTAAGATGCTTTGGGGAAACTGGGCCCTTGATGACGCAGGATACAGTCTAGAGTGTGTTACTCAGAATGAGGCTGTAAGATGTGCGGGGTTTTGTAGTGTTCTATAACAATGACTAATACGTTTCAGTGATGACTAATGGAATTAAGGTACAGCTGTCTGACAGAACATGGCTGGGTATGGTGTTCTCTCCTGGAACTGCCAGAACCACAAAGCTGCAGGCCATAGTCTGAAAAAAAGAAGATATCAAGACATTCATTATTTTCTACAGCAACATATTATATGTGACTTGCATATTGGGACATGAACTGCTTCCGTCTCATGTTAGTAATAACTTAATAACTATAATACTTTATATACGGACTACAAACGAAACTTTTATACTTTTGCATGATACTTTGTGATACATTTAAAAGGCTCATATCCTACATTTTCTTGTATTTACATTCACATTTCCATATACGGACTGAATGGTACATTTTAAAACTTTAACAATGTTTACATAGCACATCAAACTCATATTTCAAAAAAAATTGGGGAAAATTTGTTTTTCTATGATGTGGGACCTTTAAAGATCCTAATCACATCTGCACGAAGTGCTGTGCAGTCAGTTAAAAAGAATACTTAATGATGTACAGATGTTATAATTAGGGCTGAAAGATTAATCGCTTTTGTATTGGAAATGCAACTTGAAAGAGTGAAATTTTAAACCAGCAAGGGCTACAGTTTGAATTATATCTTACATTATTCAACATAATCTTAAGTTTTAACTGGAGAACTTTAACCTAATAACACAAAGTTCATGAACTGGCAGTCTGGCACACTACATTCAGTGATCAAGCCTAAAGTCTGAAAAAATTAATGTGCTTGACCTAGGGGTGGGCAATATAATGATATTTTAAAATTATCGTGATAAATTATGTCACAGTACACTTTTTCTGAGCATACTGTGGACATTGTCAGTATTTAAAGAACACTGACTTCATGTTTTATTACAAAGTTAGCATAATTAGGCCTGTTTGTAAAATGAATAAAAATAATTCCAGTTGCAGTTTTTTTATTATTATTTTAGTATTCCTATAGACCAACTGACATATTAGTATTAGTATTATTAGTAGTAGTAGTATTTCTATATGTGGCCCTATAGGTTCTATTTTATCTGTTTAAACTTCTCATTCTCAGAAAAAAACAAAATATCATGATATATATTATATATCATGAAAAGGTCTTGAAGTGTCATGATATATTTTTGCCATATCGCCCACCTCTTGCTGGATTTCTTGGCAAGAAAAGGCCCAGAGCTTAATTTGTAGAAAATAATCATATCATCTAAATCATTCAGCCTTAGTTATAATGCAACTGCAGCATAATAAGCAGAGTGAGAAGGCCCCTCACCTGTGCATTAGTCCTCAGACTGCAGTCCTCCAGGCTCACTTTTCCATCGTTTATGCAATTCGTCTGAGCCACTTGCGCTTTTATGGAGTATTTAACCCAGGTAGGTGGGTAGAGCTGAGGGAGATATATAACATTAATTCTACTCTGTAATTAGCATGTTAAAAAAGTTATTGCATAGATTTATCATTTACTAAATTAAGACATCACTTTTGAACTATTTTAAATGGGTTCTTTAATACCATATATCAGTCTTGCTGCATAAAAAGTAACAACATACTACGCTTAGCCTCTGTTTATCTATTAAGGCAGTTTATAAGATAAAAGTGTAGAATAAGAGAATTTACATACTTTCTATTACATAAGTGACGATGCGCCTTAAGTAGGATCAGACATTTCATTACAAGTTCTATGCTTCACCCATTTTTTTGTTCTTCTTTGTCATCATAAACTTTCTTTTTTTGATACTGCTACATATTTTATGAATGATTTCTTCAGCTTATAGTTTGTTTATTCCTACAGACTTAAAAAAGATAGTTCTTTAAGGGTTCTTTAAATTCTTTTAAGGGTTCTTAATTCTATATAAACCATTTCATGCTTAAAGCGTTCTTTGCATGATGAAATGGTTCTTCAGATTGATGGAGAACGTGTTGTACATGGTTCTATGTAGACCCTTTAGGTTATATATAGCACCAAAAAGGGGCTTGTATATATATTCTATATTTTACATAGCACCAAAGCCATCTTCAAAAAGCCATACACAAAGCAATCTTCATCAATCTGAAGAAGGATTTCACCAGGCAAAGAACCCTTTAAGCATGAAATGGGTTTATATAGAACTCATGAGAACCATTTACTAAAAAACTCCTGAAGAACCATCTTTCCAAAGCGCGTAGGCTTTTCTTTTCCTTTCCTCTCTAACAACAAAATACCTGAAATACAAATAAGTATTCAAAACAACTTAATGCCTATATGCAACAGAAAACAGAAGGGTAGTGGGTACGCAGCAAACATAAAGCATAGATGCAGTCATTACAGAGATGACAAGCTAGAGCGGTCCAGGCAGCATTAAACACTTTAGACATCTGGTTCCTATCACCACCACTGTGAACAATTCTTGACTTGTTTCTTTAGAATGTCACCTCAAACCACTCTAACTTACACCTTAACAATTTAAATATGCAGAGATTAATGGAGAATCTGTGGAATTCCCCTTTAACTCTCCAACACTGCTGAAATTTCAAGCACTCTTGAGTTGAGCCTCGATAAGTCTTCACATGTCACGTACCTGAACACTTTCTGACAGGATGTCCACCACTTTATAAGCATAGATATAGTTACTTCTGCGATTGTGGAAGTCGATGGCAATGTTGGCTACTTTGACTACACTTGGGTTGGTCTTTTCTGCTGAGCTGCTCCCAGACACAACACAAGACACGAAGACAACTGCAAAGAGCTTCAGGGTGCACGTCATCTTGCTGGAACAGAGGTCTGTGCAAACAAGAGCAAAAAGTTTAGTAGTCTGGATAAAATATAATAAAAATGGGAAAAGTTGCCATTCACTGCTGCTCCAGCACGACGCTGGTGATACAGATCTGTTTCCAATTTAAAGCAGCAAAAACAGGAAAAATATTAACCAGTCCACAGTGTCAGATTTCCCTCCTAGCATTAAAAATTTCTCATTTTTCCTTTTGCATATCGCCATTTTCAAAAGAGAAACACATTTTATACCTTAATATATTTATAGAGCCTGTAGATGAGAAGTCTTGCAGGATATTCTCACCCCTTCACTGGTTTCTCTGTTTCTCTTCTAAAATATTCTCGCCCTTTATCAACTGCTCCTGTACACCCTCCTTTCTGTAAATGGCCATTAACCCTTTAAGGCTCAAATCTGAAAAGTAAAATTTCCTTTAGTCCACATGTTTTCAGAGCTTGTCTGAGCACAAATCTAAAACATTTCTTCAAATAGATTAAACAATATGGCTAAAAAGTGAGTTTTTATTATAAATTTATGGATGTTTCCACAATTGGCATTCCAGTTAACAATGCAATTCTTCAAATGTAGACTACATTTTTAAAATAACTGAAAATAAATGAATTTATGAAAATAATATATTTAAAAATGTGTTAACCTATTTTAGGAACAATAACTACATTTTTCTATTTATGTGTATGTATTTATGTATCTATCTATCTATGTCTTTAGATAGACAGACAGACAGATAGATAGATAGCTAGATAAACAAAGATAGATAGATTGATTGATTGATAAACAGACAGATAGACAGATAGATAGATAGATAGATAGATAGATAGAGATAGGTAGATAAAACTAGATATTAATCAATACCATAATATCACTGAAAATAACAACATTTAAGAAAAAGTACTTTTCATTTTTTCATGATGTTCAGGAAATGTGGATAATGCAAATTCCTGTTGAACAAGTGACTTGTGGAATATTCCAGACATTTATAGGACTGAATGTGTTAACTGTGTTTAACCTGTATTTACATACATATTTAAATATACATGCAATATCAGTGGAAAACAAATGGCCTATTGGTGGAATCATCCTTATCGTATTAAATCTAGTTTATGGTCACATGGGACTACTGATTTGCAACAAACGACTAATCCTAATTTTAATGTGAATAAATGTATGAAAATTGCACCAATCTAAAAATCAAGAGAGCTACGTCTACTATTAGATGTTCCATCTTTTCCACCAGAGCTCTACCAAGAACAGAACATCCTAATCGTATTCGTGTATTTATATTTAGTTGTTGGCCCTGAATGGGTTACTTTAACGTGAAGCCACATACTGGGATTTGATACAACGCATGAAACAAAGCTCCATTTTTCTGCTCCACTTGCCTTTCCTCGGTTTCCTCAGAGCTCCAGGGACGCTGCTGTGTTTAAAGCCGGAGCTTCCTCCGCTGCATTCTGCTGACACAGAGACTCACTCGGGCTTTTAGTTACCGCTCATCTGTACTCAGGTTTGGCCAGAAGACGTACAGATAAATATCTGTCATTGCACTGCACGGCAGAAACCCGAGAAACCCGACAGGGACCTTCTTAGCGCTGCTTGTTTACTCTAAGCAGCTTCCTGACCACCTGACCACGGCGAGTCCTTCCCATCAGCACCCTGGCGCCCGGAAACTGTCTCACATACGCGCCGTATGTCACTATTTTGCAAATACTTTTCTGATGTCAAGCCACCGGGGCGTCAGTGAGTTCAGGCACTGATGTTGGATGTTTAGTTCAGGATCAAAAATGTCTTCTCCAACTTATTCTATTTTTCAGTGCCTTTTTATTGGGATTATACAAGCGGTGTGCCTGCAGTTGGGTGCTGGGTCCGTCTGCATAACACACACACACATACACACACACACACACACATACACACACACAAACATATACACCAATCAGGCATGACATTATGACCACCTCCTCGTTTCTACGCTCATTGTCCATTTTATCAGCTCCGTTTACTATATAGGTGCAGTTTGTAGTTCTACAATTACAGACTGTAGTCCATCTGTTTCTCTGCATACTTTGTTAGCCCCCTTTTACCCTGTTCTTCAGTGGTCAGGACCCCCATGGACCCTCACAGAGCAGGTGCTATTTGGGTGGTGGATCATTCTCAGCACTGCAGTAACACTGACATGGTGGTGGTGTGTTAGTCTGTGTTGTGCTCATACGAGTGGATCAGACACAGCAGTGCTGCTGGAGTTTTTAAACACTGTGTCCACTCACTGTCCACTCTAGTAGACAGTCCTACCTTGTCAGTCCACCTTGTAGATGTAAAGTCAGAGACGATAGCTCATCTGCTGCCGCACAGTTTGTGTTGGTCATCCACTAGTCCTTCATGAGTGCTCACAGGACGCTTTAAACACCTCAGTGTCACTGTTGGACTGAGAAAAGTCCGCCAACCAAAAATATCCAGCCAACAGCGTCCTGTGGGCAGGGTCCTGTGACCACTGATGAAGGACTAGAGAATGACCAACACAAACTGTGCAGCAGCAGATGAGCTATCGCCTCTGACTTTACATCTACAAGGTAGACTGACAAGGTAGGAGTGTCTAATAGAGTGGACAGTGAGTGGACACAGTGTTTAAAAACTCCAGCAGCACTGCTGTGTCTGATCCACTCATACCAGCACAACACACACTAACACACCACCACATCAGTGTTACTCTCTCTCTCTCTCTCTCTCTCTCTCTATATATATATATATATATAGACACAGACTATGGAATACCTTTTTAAAGGGCCAAACATTTGTTGTGCATTTTATTTTGTCCCCCCATCCTGCCACATATGACACATAATGTGCTTTATGTACTAATATTAGACATAATTCAAATATTTGCAATTCAATTATAATTTTTTAACCTTTATTTATCCCTTAAACAAGCTGTTTTGTTTTTGTGAGTGACATATGTAGCTATGATTATCTGACCCGTTCAAAAAGCTGTCCAGACTGAAACACTCCTTATAACTTCAACAAGAATGGGTGGGGCTAAACTGATGTAGGCGGTGTATATATGTAATTATGTTGATTTTTGTGATATCACAGAAACAGTGACTTTAACAATATTTACATATCACATCAAATATCTTATTTAAAGAAAGCTAAAGGTATAGGCCCAGGTAAAAACATGCGAAATACTGGAATGGAGCCCAGATTTTGGAGTTAGGTAATTAGGATCCTATTATGCAAGGCCTGACCTTTATTTATTAAATTTCATTAGATTTTTTTTGCGTGCCAGAGTTCATGTTACCATAGCCTTGTATCTGTGCAAACTTTTTTTTTTCATTTTGGGAAGAGACATTTAGGTATAAAACCCCGTTTCTGAAAAAGTTGAGACGCTGTGCAAAATGTGAATAAAAATAGAAGACAATGATGTGCAAATCATTTAACCCCTACATTTAATTGAAAATACTACCAAGACAACATATCAGATGTTGAAATTGAGAAATTTTTACACGTTCCAAAAAAGTTGGGACGGGGCAGGTTTATCACTGTACTGCATCACCTCTTCTTTCAACAACTCTCTGTAAGCGTTTGTTTCAACTGTGTCAGCTGCTCAACAGTTCGGGGTCAGATTGAGCAGGGCTCCTCTGTTTGGAGGAACTAGCCAGCTAAAGTCTTGAAGCTTCCTGAAGTTCCTTCAGGCTTGTCCCAGTCATGGTCAGCGCTTTCCTGCTGGATTTCAACACTGAAGGACTTGCTCCTTTTCCCTCCAGAACTCCAGCACTGAGCCCAGCCCTATGCTGTGTATTTCTCTGTTGTCCTCTGTCTTTCTCATCTCTCTTTCAGCTGTTCTTCCTCTTTCTACTTTTCCATTTCTCTGCCCATCTTCATTTCTTCCCTTAAACTTACAGTGATTATGTCCACTGTTTTCTGGTCAGTGACCTCCTTTTCATCCTCTCTCTTTTTTTTTGTGCCAGCTTTGTGTCTCCTTCATCGCCTGCAGCTCTCTCTTGAGATTCTCGTCTCTCTGTACAATTTTCAGAGTCTCCCACTCTTTCGTCGCTGTTTTCTTTTTGATTTTCTCCAGCTCTTCTTTCAGCTTTTCCTCTCTCTCCCGGAATCTCATGATCTCCATCTCATGCTGTTTCGCTGTTTCTTCCAAACATCTGATGTCGTTCTCGCTCTGACTTTCACTGGCGCTCTGCAGACTCCTCTTCTTTTCCTGCTTCCTCTGCTTCTTTCCTTCTTGTTCAGGTCCGTTTCTCTTCTCTCTCTCTGAACTTGTTGGAGCCGCTCTTCCTCTCTCTGCCTCACCGGGATTCTCTCCGTCTTGTTGAAGAAAGTGATTTTGGGGAAGCAGCCGCTCCAGCACCCACAGGCTGTGGGACTGGGTGGGGGACGCAGCCCTCTCTCCTGCTCTGTCCCTGTTAATATTTTCTGAATATAATGGTGACCTGTTTCTGCCACTGGAAACAGACTATAGCCATCTGGTAAGTCACAATAATGAGAACGTATCTCATAATTATAAGTCATCTCATAAGGATGCTTTTGCATATCACAATAACTTATTTTCTCATAATTAGGACAATTCAGATAATTAGGCATAATTAACATCTTATCATTATGAGAAAATGTTCTCATTATAAGACACTAAGTCATACATATGAGATACTATATGAGTTTATTTTTTTAAAAAGGCTTCCGTAGGTACGGTGACCATTGAGAATTGGTGACCATTCAGGAGCTGCATGTTGTCGACCCCTGCTCTATTGCTTAATCCTACAGAAAGCAGTCTGTCTTCTAATCGTGTGAAAAAGCGGTGAGTGCGGTTACCTGTTTAGCTACTGATAGTGGAGGTTTTGAGGCTAATATAAGCAGTGCTTGTGTACAGAATGGCAATCATTTTTGTGAATTTGATACACATATTGTATAATGAGCCAACTGACATAAGTTATTCATAATAAGCTGATATTGTGGCAAAATTAAAGGCTAACAATTTAGCACTGTTAAACTCTAACAAATTCACACTATATTTAAAAGTTCTTTAACCTGCGATGGACTAGCAACCCGTCCAGGGTGTTTCCTGCCTTCGGTCCATTGACCGCTGGGATAGGCTCCAGCTCCACCCGTGACCCTGAAGGACAAGCAGTTTAGAAAATTTGTGTGTGTGTGTGTGTGTGTGTGTGAGATAAAATAGAGCCAAAAATGTTTGTAAAATTACTTTTTATTTATGAAGCTGGTTAAACCAATGGTGTAGCTTTAAATATTCATTCACAAATGAATACTGCACAGATTTACTAGTAAATTACTACATGAGATTGAAAACGTATTTAAACTGACATATGAGGAGGCTGCAATGGGGGTCAGTAATGCCCATTACCCTGATATAAACAGTATGTGATCGTTTTTAAGTTTTCCTTCACATAAACTTCGATCAGCTCTGATCTTGTGTTTATTTTTAGACAGCAAATAAGATAAAAAGATAAACAGTGTTAATGTGTTTACACCGTACCTATTGTGCTTCCAATAAGCTGACGTAAACTGTGATGATGAACAGACTGTTTGTGTGGGTGTGCTTGTGTAAAGCAGTGTTATTAATGAAAATATTAATTAGATTTGAGCTAATTAATATCAAAGTCCTTATGGGAAAGTCTGTTCACTTGGCAGCCATCAGTCATTTCAATCATACCAGACCAGACGCCTATCTTTTTGAATGGGAGAGACCTCAAATGTCTCAAGGCCAAATTACTGTTTCGAAAACATGTTTGTTAGCGTGTTAGCTCAGGCCTAGGGCGTTTGCTCTGGACTGGCATGTTGTCTTGTGACAGCAGTAGCATGTCCTCTCATCTGCACACACATCACATACACGATTTTGGTTGTTTCTGTGTGTAAATAACTGGTAATCCTCGCTTTTCCTTCACAGCAGACCTGAAGCCAAACACAGAGTCTCACACTGACAGTTCAGTTTAATATAACGAAGATGATGGTTGGCGCAGCACTCAGAGGGCTGAGTGGCTTTCAGTCATAATGATAAGTACTGTAGCGTGTTGGTAAATAAGGAGACACTAGAGGCCGTGATTGTGCTACAAGAAGTGCTCTTTATTGACATCAGCAGAAAAGGCTTGTCCAGAGCAGCCCTTTAGCAAGGAAGGTCACCTTTGTCAAAGTTTATTTGTATAGCGCTTTTTACAACAGGTGTTGTCACAAAGCAGCTTTACGGAAAAATCCAGGTCCAAGCCCCCCATGAGCGTCGCCAATGGTAACAGCGGCAAGGAAAAACTCCCTAAGAGCAAGAGGAAGAAACCTTGAGAGGAACCAAGACTCAAAAGGGGAACCCATCCTCCTCTGGTCGACACTGGACAGCAAACAATAACAGCAGAGAATGAGATTTGATCATTAGTATAAGATATAGAAAAAGAGGAAAAGCAGGAGTAGCAATGTCTATGATTAAAAATGCAGCAGTATCATCAGGAGGGTCAGTGGTGTGCAGGTGAGGTTTGTATAACGTTGCTCAGCAGGAAGCTCCTTGGTGGTCAAACTGGTCCAGAAGGCTGGCGAGCAGTGGGCACACAATCAATTCAGATAAAGCAACAGCATCAGACCACACAGGATAGGCAGTTGTTCATTTGTGTTGTCCTGAGTCCATCATCGCCATCATTTGTGTTGTCT